ATATATTTTGATATTTAATATTATTTAAAAGCATGAATATTTATTATTATAGACATTGATAATTTTTTAAAAGCTAGCATCTGATCTGAACTAATAACTTTTTAAAAATTATATGAAATTTTTATAATCTTCTTGTTCCCTGTAAAAACTGATAGCAGAATTGTAATAATAAAAACTGATACAGAGAGAAAACTGCAAAATGTAGTATTTAAATTAATATCTTAGTTATTTTTATATTTAATGGACAGTGAGAGTAATATTTTTTATTATTAAAAACAAAGATGATTACCTTCAGCAAATCTCATAACAAATCAGTTTATAAAAATTACAAAATGTACATTTTTTTATATGATTTGAATTTTTAAAGTGTATTAAGAAAAAAAAGATCATTTTCAAAGATTTTTCTATGATACAATCTTGAGGTAATAATGAAAATTTCACCAACTGTGTACTCTTTATATGATTGCTCTTTGTACGTGTTTTAATAGTGTAATAGAATTGTTTTATCTAGTAAATTGTTTTATTGGTAAATTAGCTTTTTTTGTAAGAAAATATGCATCTGTTTTGATTTTAATAAAAATGAGCTTGTATTTTTTTCCTATATTCTTGATTTTTAATCATATAAGGTGACTAGAAAGTTAATTTTATCTATTAAATTTAACTCTGATCAAAATGTATTCTTCTCAATAATGGAGGTAGCTTGAAAGGTTTGTTTTTAAAACAATATTGGTGCAATAATATCCTTTGGTGCACATAAGAAAAATAAAATAAAAATTGGAACTTGGCCATTTTGTTATAGCATTGTTTTTTTTTTTCTTCCATTCAGTATTAAGTAGGGCAGTAAGTGCTGCTAAAAATATTATCTAGATATTAGATTTCATCATGAAATTGCCAAGTGAGAAAATTTGTTTATTATGAAACATATAGGTTTTATTAATTTTGGACATTTTTCAATGGAGTTTTAAAATTTGGATCCAGTTGACTATATTACTTTGATTGAGGTTTGCTGAGTAATTTTATTTTATCCCCTTATAAATTTATATACACTTGTTTTTTTTCTTTTTTATTTTGTGAATTTCCATAAAAATCTGTTTTATTTTTATTATTTTTATTCTCTAAATAATATAAATAATAATAATAATAATAATCTGTTTTGCTATTTTTCAACTGTTCAAATGCAGATTTTGTCATGAACCCAACAGTGTGTTTGGCTTTTGATCTTATTTATTGTTAGGATAGGTTAAGATTGATAAAAGCAGATATGTTTTATCTTTGGCTAAGATCAATGTGTATAATAGTATTTTGTAAAGTAATATCATTACCTACTATGATTTGGGGCGGAAAAAGAATATAAATATCTGTATTTTAAACTTTTGAAATACTTTGTTCATTCAGTTATCATGTATTATAAAGCAAGCATTTCTTCAGATTTTTCCTTTTACTTGTGATGCCTGAGTCTAAGATACACTTGTAAATTGTACTGTTTGTAAATATATACAGAGAGAAAAAAATTGCTGCAAATGAAACCTCATTTTGTTTTTTTAAATGAATAAATCATATTCATGAAAAATTATCAATGCAATATTTAATTGAACATTGAGTGAAATCTATATAACCTGGTTCAGCAGGAGCAAACAAGAAATAATGACATAGGCAAAAATAGGCATATACTAGATATTCTCTATTAAAATAATGGACACTTAAAGATAGCTAAAGTGTAAGTATCTTTAGCCATCTTCAGGTATCCATTATACTATAATTATAGACAAAATACTTTAAGTTACTGAGTTACTGCAATTCAGTTTTTGACTTATAATAAAATAAATTAACTTATTTTTGTGGGATATTTTCAGGAATTGCTTTTTTGCTAAGAACATTTTTCAAAATAACTCTCAAGTTAATTTACTTTCTTGCCACTAAGTTATACATTTGCTATTCCATAACTATAGTTAGTTCACCTTAACCTGTATCTACAATGATGATTTTGTATTGAATAGCATTTAAGGTCTGTTAAATATTTGAAACAAAAATGAATTTGTCTTAAAAAAAATCATTATATAACTTCAAGTTCAATTATTTTCTTCAGCATGATTTTTTATCCCTTTCACTGCTATCAAATTGATCAAATTATGGGAAGCACCAAATTTAGGTGCTATTCTATATAAAATTATAATTGTAGCTATAGATGACTGAATTCTATCACCAATTAGTTTTCCAAAACTGCTATGTTGTTTTGGAGCTTTGTTTCAGTGAGTATTTTTATTTCTTTGAATAGGCTTTTATGGATATGAAGAGGAAAATAGGCATTTTCACGCAATCATATTAAATTTAATTTATTTTTGATGGCATACATGCCATCAAAAATAAATTTAGCAATCAAAAAAAAAAAAAACTGCTTTTACAACTAAGTTCACCCATAAAATTTTTATTCTAATGGCAAGAGCATTTATAATCTCCAATTTTTAAAAAACTTATTTGAAATTTAAAACTTTGCTTAATGAATAATAGTAATTTAAAAAAAATAATTTCAATATTTGAAGGCAATACAAAGAATTGTCACAGCAGAGTAAGGACCAGTCAAATAGTCAATGTGAATGACTTTGTCAATTTATAAAAAGGGGAGAATTAACTATATTAATGCTTTTTAGCTTCTCTATCTGTGAAGCTTCTAATGAATAAAAAAAAACATATATGAAAAATATGGTGAATTCATTTCATCATATATTAATTATTCAACATTAATACTTTTTAATGACATGATATTGAAAAAATAAACCATGAATTTAATCAAAATATTAGATAAAAATCCTAAAATTTGTGTAAATATTTTAAAGAATAGTATAGTAAATAAAAAGGTGACAAAAAAAGTAATATTTTAATTTTTAGTTCATGTGAAAAGTTTGTTTAAAATGGTAAATAATTTATTTCTCCTGTGAATTATTTTTAAAATGTATAAAAATTGAGGCCTAAGTTTATAATGTAGAGGTATTATCAAATTAATTAAATGGGGGCGGATCTTAAATGGAAAATCAATTTCATAAAAGCTCTTTATATTAATTTTCATCATTTATAAATATTGGAATTTCTATTATATATTGAAATTTTCTGCAGATTTTTACAGTCTGAGTGTTTTCTACCTTTACCGATTTTTAATACAAATTACATTACTGTGTTACATTCTTTCAACATGTTAGCAAGTTCTTAAACATAAATATATTGAGTTTTATGTAATGCACATAAATCATTTGTATATTAGAATTCCCTCCAATCTTATTAATGACATAATGATAAAATTAACTTTTATACAAGTTTGGTTTAGTTTTTAATATGTCACTTTGCCACTAACATTACTTGTTTTTACTTTTGAGCTGGTAAAAATGTAAATATTGCAGATACCAGTGAATACCCTGGCTTTTTCTTTTGAGTGTGATGAATGAAATCCTCCTCTTGAGGTAAATATTAACAGATGCCATCACATAGATAGGCCACTTGATAAAAATGAGTAGTTGATCTGTAATCAAATGTATGTGTATAACAATTAGGAAATATCAGTGTAATATTATATAACCCTGTCTCTGCTCTTGTTGTGTCAGTCTATTATTTCCTGTTCTAGCACTACCAAGAATATAGAATTCTTGTTGTCACTTGGTGTTTTTAATCTTCATGGACATTGCATGTCAATGTCAGCAAGCTGGTAGGTAATTGGATTTTATGGGAATTTGGTGGTTGTGATTCTGCTGAGATTTCAATGGACATTGTCTCTACTGAAATCTAGTTTCACAAAACAAACCAACAAACTCTGTTGATAACTAACAATAGTTTTAAGGAAAACAAATTGAAGAATTTAAAAGTACATAAAGAGTAAAAAATTATTAATCTTCTTATGTAACCTGGTTGACAATCAAAAGATGTAACCAGGTTACATAAAAAGATTAATAATTCTTTAATTAAATTAAATTCTTTTAATTTAAATTATTCTAGCAGTAATTCATAATAATTTTAGAGACCTTAATTCTTGCACTGTATTCTTTTCTTGTGTCTGTAGGTTCTTTAGTGGCAGAAACAGCAGCAGTGAGAATAGTTTATAAACGGACCTCACCAATCTTGTCTTCTTTCTATTTGGTCCTGTCTATCTTTCACATTTATATAAGGAGGTTTGCATTCCTCTGGCATTGATTTTATTCCATATTTTTCAATAAGATATTTACTACCTTCCTTTATTTAGTAACAGATGGCCTTTTTTTGGAATGTGGTTGAGTGAAACCTCTGGGTCTGAATTGTTAACAATTTGAAAGAATAATAGTTTACACAAGCATAGCAAGAATTCTTCTTTGGAATTTTGGAAATTATAGAAAACTATCAGTCTTTGTCATACTGCCTTGGAGGTAACTGAGTAGATTGGGGAAGATCTAGTCTTACTAAATGTTAATGGATTTTACTTGGTTTATTTCAGATTCAAATTTTCCTAGAACCTTCTCCAAACTCATGGCTTCTAATTATTATTTTGAGTCTATCTTTCTTTCCCTATTCTCCTCATTGCTTAATTAATTATTTTTAACCATCTAATCTTACTTATTTCCTGTTTCAACTCATCATCAGGCATTCTCATACATTAAAACATTGAACCAGGGTTACAATCCTGTTATATAAAACGCAAGATTTAAGAGATTATATGAAAATATATTTGGTTGCTTAATTCAAATTCCAGTGACTGGTTACAATTTTTGGCATCAGTTAATGGAATTTAGATTCATGCAAAAGGTAGAAATTTAAATCCTGTCATTTAAAAACCAATGTCTGAAATTTTATAAAGTAAAAGGTTTCCAGTTAGGACATATATATTTATATTTAGGAAATCTGTAATATCTGTAATGAATCTCTTTCTCAGTTCATTCATATCTGTATTTGTATATATTTGTAGCAAATATAAGAGCATTCATCAAAAATATCTACCAGTTTGGACACATGGAACAAAAATGAACTATATTTTGTATTTTTAGCTTTTCCAGTTCCACGTGGTTTACAGAGCCAAGACGAGGATTTATCACAGAGAACACTGGAAGAAGATCAAAGATCACACGAAGAAGATCAGCCATCATTGCCACAAAGAGCAATGGAAAAGAAAAGAGCTTTGGAGAAAAAATCAGGTATGGTATTTATTATATTTCTGAAGATATCAAGAATTCTTTGATATTTGACCAGTATGGTTATTTTCATCATATTAAGTAAAATAGAGTTTTATTGACTTTTTTGTAAAGTTTATCAAAATTTAAAACTTAAATGATGTCACTTCTTGAAATGGATTTTTTTAATGAGGTCATTTGCATTTTAAGTTTTTAGAAGCAAACTAACCAAAAAAGTTTTTATAAAAAATATTACTACTTTTTATGTCTATGCTATTTAAATTAAATATCTCCTGATATATTTATAAAATTTCCACACTTATACAATATTTTGGGATTATCAAGAAATATCTTAAAAACCACTTTTAATGAGTAAGTCAAATGTTGGTAACATAAAATTATTTGGGAAGGAGAGGAAACTAAGTAAACATTTAATTATCTGCCTAATCTTTTTTTGCTGACTAGCTTATAGTTCTAAAAAAAACAAAAGGAAATCCTGAATGATTAATACTAGTTACCCATGAATTTATAACTTTAAAATTTTTTTAACCATCACAATTCAAATATTTACTCAATACATTTTTTACTCATATTTTATAAAACTTCATTTTTTATGTTTACAAATTCCTTCTCCACAAACCATAAATATGGTTTTGAATTCAAGATATAAAAGTTAATGAAGGGAGTTAATACTTCAGCTAACGGTTAATAAAAGGAATTTTTTTTTTTAATTAGTATCAGCAAAGCAGTAAAGCCACTAAAACACAACGGCTTACAGGGTGGGGAAGAATTAGCAACAGAAACATTAATAATGATGAGCAGAAAGAGAAAAAGAGTAATCAGGACAGTGGATAGCGATTGACATTACATTTAAATTTTTGCTGATTAAAGTTGGCTGGAAAGCACGGAGCAAGAAGGGAGTTCCACAAGTGAGAAGTGTGAGAAAAGAAACTGTTATTATAGAGTTTACAGATACATCTAACAAGCTCAACTGATGAGATCTTGATGCCAGTTTAGTACTGTGTTTAAATTCAAAAACTCTAAGTACCATAGTGAAGAGCAATTTTTATTGTTTTGTACAGAAATGTGGCATATGGCCGAAGTGGGGATTGGAGAAAGGACGGTCTTCTTCTGTCTTAAATATAACTTAGCTAGCCACAAACGCTGACCCAATCGTACAAACAATATTCCTTACACCAAAACAACACATTCATATGTACCTTTCTTACTACAATCACCATAATACCTCATTGTCTCTATGAAAATACTAACTAGTCCTCATATTTACAATTCATTGTCTGTGGGAAGGAGGGGAATAAAAAACAACAATTCTAAAATCTAGCCCCAATGAGTATTTACAATATGAAAGCAAAATCTATTTACAAGAAAGTAAAGAAAATAATATTAGTAATAACCCCCCACCCCACAATCACTAAATGTGGCAGAAATATCAGTTTACTGGGCGAAATCAATGTGGGACTATAATAGTATAAAACATTCATTCATCCCAAGCACTCACACTGACATGCACTCATTCAGACACAACAACAAATACGAAAAACACTCACGTGAAATGAAAGGCCCCCCCCCGCATCCACCAGCGAACTGGCATCATTGTCCACCTAACGAGGGAGGGGATGGGGATGGGGATGGGGAATTAAACTTAAAGAAAAAAAAAAAAGACAGAAATAAAAAATGAGCATACATACCCTAGCTAAATTAACTTGAAACAAAAAAAGAAACTAAAGCATCAAACTGTGCGTAACCTTGCCTATTTTTGGGATGGGTTGCACAAGTTCAACCCAGGAAGAGCAATATCCTGATGCCTAACCGGCATCAAAGTGCCATTCAAGGTCAGCCTCTTTCACATACAATGACACAAACATGCAAGATTCACCCACCTTTTGCTGAATTCAGATGAAGTGAGCTGCCGTCTTTCCGTCCTAATCTTGACTTTAAGAAAGAACTTTCCCTGCAGCATGTGCACCATGAGGCCTTCAACAAACTGGCACAACGGCGCTACCTACCTGCAATGAAAGAAGGCATGATCCAGGGTCTCGACCTCCCCACCACAGTGTCGGCAGTTTGGAGATTTCTCGAAGCCTGCTGAGCAATGTCTTTTGGTGACTCAGAGGGCCCCACGAATCACCAGCCAGGTGAGTGATGCCTCATCGTTATTGAGACATTTCAACCCAGGCACCCAAGGCCATATTGAGCAAGCTTCCTGCTTCGTAAGACTGCGCTTGTCAATCAGCTCATCACAAACGGACCCCCTGACTAACACCTGATATAATGCCCTATGAGATGATGCCTGGACGTTGGAGAGGCCATCCAATGCACATAAGAGTAATACAACATTCACAATAGAAGGAGCATTTGGCTCCGGGTAACTGGTGGGCCTCCTCCTCGCACAAGTGCACACTTCTCAGGGAAGTTCTTACGGGCGTCTTCCTTCCAGAAGGCGCCTTCCTCATCTGGTTTGCAACACATTCGATCTATAAAGCCGATGCGAAGCATATATTGATGAATCTCAATGCTTGGCATGCCCAGACCCCCTTCAGATGGAAGAAGGCAACAGATCTCCTGAGATACCATAGCGGCTTTGTCTCTCCACAAGAAAGTGAACAAGAGCTTTAGTAATGACATTAGTGTGGGATACGGAAGTGGAAGTACAGAGTCGGTGAAGGAGAATCAGGTAGATGTGTGAAACACATACTTCCACCCTCTTTTTTAAGGAAAGATTCATCCGAGACCACAAATTAATTGCGATCTTGGCCTTCCCTTGCATGTCTGACAAATTCATTTCAACTGGATATCAGGACTGAACCAGATGGTGAGTATCTTGACCAGCCCAGCCGTCCAGAAGAAAGATCTGGGAAGAGAAACTCCTTTCCACGCACCCAACCGCAAGCCAACAAACTTATTGTGGTTGATCTTGGCCCCTGTCACAATCTGATGACCACTGATTTCTTTGCTGACTTCATCAATCTCTGCTTGACACAAGACCCAAAACGTCATCAGCATAGGCAGAATACCTGGCCGATGTGGTAGCACCAAGCAGGGAAATTCCGCATAGGACCGGATTCGCCTTTAACTTGTGAAGGAAAGGTTCCAACGCAAGAATGTAAAGCAAAGGCGAAAGCGGACAACCTTGATGAATGGAGTGAGACAATACAAAAGGCTCTGATCATACCCCATTCACCTCCACCAGCGCACTGGGAGTCGCATACAGAAGTCGGATCCAGGTGCGAAAGTACAACCTGAAAACGGCCGCCAAAAGGACAGTCTCCAGAAATCAATGGTCAGCCCTATCGAAGGCCTTGGACTGATCTAAATTGATCAGCACTGCTTCACTGTCGACTTGCTCGATGCTCAGGGAGTACCATATGAAGATTGTCCTGAATAGTCCAATCAGACAAGACAGGACAACCTGCAAACGGTTCGCTAAGATCTTAGCCAAAATCTTTAACTCTGTGTTTAACATAGTCAAAGGGTGAAAGTTACCTAACCCATCCCCACTGTTTTTGTCCTTGCGTAACAACTTGTTCACACCCCTGCTTCTTCCAGTTGCCGAAAATCAGTGCCAGCAAGGGAACAAAAACGGGCGACTGCCTCAAGTACACTTCCTACGGAAGACCATCTAATCCCAGAGATTTGTCCAGGCCAACCTGTTTCAGTGATTCCTAGATTTCCAACTCTGTAATTAGACCCTTGCACCTAGCCGCTTCAGCTGCCTCAAGGCAAGGAAAGTCAGCTAAATAGGTGTTGAACTGAGCAGGGCTCAGACCGGGCTCCCTGGTGAAAAGCTCCTGAAAGTACTCATGAAAAGCCTCATATATACCCTCGTTTGTTGTCATGGTCAGCTTATCTGGCAATGTGACATTGTGATATGTCGCCAAGATGCATTCCGAGCTTCCTCTGCATGCTAGACCTAACTACCAGAGCTTGATCCTTCTTGATATACAAGGAAACCAACTCTGCCTTAGCTAAAGCTACGTCCCCACTATCATGGGATCTGACTGCCTGATCAACTTTCTGCTCTAAAGCCGTTTGCACCACTAATCTATCTAGATTGAGCCGACGACTATAATCAGCAGCAAATATTCAAATTTTGTAATTTTAAGTTATCCCATCAGGCATTTCCCACAACCACTCACGTCAGTACTCTTTGTATCATTAGTAGCAGCTGGTCCCAGAAATCTTGCTCACCAAATGATGAGTTTAATTTCCAGTAGCCAGCCATCTTAACTTTAGGCTTATCTATGTTTACACAGACCTGGACAAGCCTATGATCCGAATAAACTATCTCATGGAAACTTGGACACCCTAAGAGCCCTACATCGACTCTCCTAACTAAGACTCGGTTGAGGTAGCTAGAACGCACCTCAGTAGCTGAGCCGCCACGCTACCTCCTGAGGGTGCACATTCCGGTACTAATTGACCAGATCAAACATGTCGATAAAGTCTTGAAATGGTTTCACGTCTCTTGAAATGGTTTCACGTTAGTACCCAAATTTGGCCCTATACGATCTATATCGGTGTCAAAGACGACATTCCAATCGTCCACTAAAACTACCCGACGCGATATCAAAAATGGCTCAATCTACTGAAACAAATCAGGCCACTCAGAATGGACATTGGGCACATAAACCCCAATGAGACGAAGAGCCTTATCCTTTATGGTAACATCCAGCATGCAAAGTCTGCCCGTGGGATCTGTGAAGACAAGAACACATGCAGCCTTCAAAGACTTGCTCACCTCTTGAGCGTCCATGAAAACATGTTGAATAGAGGGGAAAACCCCCTAGACAGAATGCGTTCATGGTCACGAGAAGAAAAACGGGTCTCTTTGCACACAACATATATTCACCCTGAGACGCTGAAGGTCATGAGAGAGCCTTGCCCTGCAACACTCCGACCTCAGGCCTCTTGCTAACCAGAGAGCCATGATGAAACCGATTAGGGTTGCTCTCCTGCATTGAACATGGCCTGGGTTAGGACACCAACGGCCTCTCCTATAGAACCAGTGCCGATCTCGGTCTTAATGGAGCCATCAGGAGACAAGCAGCCAATTTCCAGGAGAAAAGTTAATTTCAGCGCTCTATACAGGGAGGGGTGAACGAAAAGCGGGAGCCTCCCTGAACAAAATTGATTTAATTTCTTAACATTTTCATTGTCAAAGAAAACAAATGGAGGCACCATGCCAAAGACCTGGTTTGCCTCTGTCACCATTGCCCATACATGCTTGCCTTATTACAGTAAGTATCCTTTTTGCATTAAGTTGCACATCAAGGTTGTTGATTTTACGGAATTTTATCAAATGCTTCAGTTCTTTGAAGTTTTTGCACTGGGAAGCAAGTTTCTCTTCTTGTTCTTTAGTTATAGTGCAAACTTTTCCCCTGTATTGAACTTCGGGGTTTTTTTTTTTTGCACACAAAATCAATGGCATCAGTAGACGGACTTTGTTGTCGTTTTTCCGATTTTTGAGGGGAAGTGATGGGTGTTTGGACAGGAGAAGGTTTAGGATAATTTTGGGGACTGGGAGACTTTTGAAGTGTAGTCATTTTAAATGGGGAAGGAGATGGAGATTTAGTCAAGGGAGGTGGTGTCATCAGTTTTTGCTTCTAAGATGGGGATGAAGGAACTGAGGAAGAGCCAGATGTTTTTGTTGATGTGTTCCTGATAGAGTCTTTTAATTTTTTAAGCTTTTCTTTGAAAAACTGGCTTCATATCTCAGTTGCTGTTGCCTAAAATTTCTAGCCCTTTGCGCTAGTAGAGGGAGTAGTACTGTTTGTGTCTTTCCCTGTTTGTGTCTTTCCCTGTTTGTGTGGAAAGAGGTCCCACTGCTTGGGTCTTCCCTTTTGCCCTGCCAATGACCTGCCATTCCCCCTCTACCTTCTCCCTATCCGCACTAACAGCGAGCAAAGGCTTTTTGGGGAATGGGGGCTGAGATTTGGACCAAGCTGGAGGATTTTTCATACTGGTCCTGATCGCTGGCATGCCCATTACAGGCGAGACGGATTGTACAGATTCGACCAAAGGGGGATTTGGTTGACTGGGGGCCAGAACTTCAGAGGCCTTCTTCTCTGTGCAGGAAGAGGACAGGTGACCAGTCTGTCCACACTTCCAGTATGCCGGTTTACACCCAGACACAATTATCAGCATTTTCTGGCCCTCTACATCCGAGGAAGTACAGAGTATCTGCCCAAACTGGCACAGATAGGCGGCCAAATGCTCCCCGACAATCTGAGGATGAACCTCATATACTGCAACTTTGGTCCTCCACCTGCCTTCATATTCCGTGCGCAGAATTAGGTCCTTTATTATAAGTTTCCTCGTTGTTGCATTTTCACAATCGGCAGGCGTGGGCAACAGTACATCCCACATAAAATAGCCTTTTCCTTTGATGACTGTCTGAGCTTTAATACCCAGAGAAGTCAAGGTCTTAATTACAGTGTCTTTTGTGGAGTGACAAAATTTGTGCGAGCGCTTGTCCACCACAAAGACAGACACAATTCTTTTCTCAATCTTTCTACGTTCCTCGGGATTTGACAAGAGCCCATCTGCTGTGACCAGATGTGCTTAGCTCTTGCTTTCTCCAGGAATGCCATCATGTTGATTTTACACTTTGGCGGGGACTTCTAGCATGAGGGCGTCTCTTCGACTGCTAAATTTTTGTCATAATTCTTTGGGGTCTGATTTGTTAAACTTTGGCCACCATAGTTTGGTCTTATACACTGGTTTCTTTCACTGATTTTTGGCCATTTGCGGCCACCATATTTTTTCCTTGACTCTGTAATTTTTTTCCATTTGGGGGTCTTCATACTTTTGGTGAGATTTGGATTTTCATCCAAATTCTGGCTCTCTTATGCCTCCATCACTGATTCATTATCTCGAATCTTATCTGGTGGATCATTCTTTTTTTTTAGTCCCAAACAGTTTTTTTCTCGCTGTTCTATTCGCACCCATATTTTTTCTTTTAAAACAAGATTTTTTTTTTATTTCTTTTCACAAAAACAAAATTAAAAAAACATATAACTAAACAAAAGCTAAATACGTATAAATCACAATAACAAAAAAAAAACAGTTAAACATGCAAGAATGGGTTACTTAAAAAGAATACGTACAAAAAAAGACAATGAATGGTAAAAATATAAACAATAAAAAATTACAAATCACAGAAAATGAGTATGTGAACGAAAACTCACAAATTAAGGTAGAAAATACGAAACAAAATGTTCCAAACAAATTCACAAAGACAATATGGCTGCAACTAAAAAATTCAAGTCAGCCCAAAAACGAATGAAACACGTAAACTAAAATAAAGAAGAAATAACGAATAGAAAAATAAATACGAAAAGTTTGAATAAACACAGAAAAGATTTAAACAAAGGAACACAAAATATTTAACAGATATTTAAACAAAGAAGATATTTAAAAAGAACGTAAAGAAAAAAAGAAATAATATGTAAACAAAGAAAAATAAAGTCTGACGTGGAATAAATAAATAATGAAAAATAAAGGTTTGCAGGGAAAAGTTAATGAAAATTAAAAGGAAATTAAAAAAGGAAAAAATATAATCAAAAATATATTATAAAAAAGAAAATGAAAATTAATAATAAAATAAAAAAAAACAAAAAAAAAAAAAAAAAGTAAAATTCAGGGGAGGGTAAAAACTTCTGTTAATGTAAAATCAAACTTCTGGCAAAAAAGTCAGTAATATGAATGGAAGAAAATTGAAAACTTAACGTGAATAAAAGTTGACAATCAAAAACAGTTCACAGGTAATATGTCTGGCGATAACCACCGATCGTATGATGTCAGTAAAAAAGGAACTCTTCTCATAGAGGTACCATAGTGAAGAGCTCATCCAAACAATTACCATGAAAGTATTTATAGAAAAGCAACAGAGAAGCAACCTTATGGCAGTGTGAAAGTGACTCAAGCCAAGCCACCAGACCAGGACCAATAATATTGCTGATTCTTCTTTGGATCTTATCAAGTAGCTCAAGGTAAATAGCAAGCGCATCGGACCATATGTGGCAGCAATATTCTAAGCATGGATGATTGGTAGAATGTAAGATAGATTCTGGAGAGAAAAATTGTCTCATCCAACATAGTGAACCGACTTTCTTAGTAGCTGACCTACTGATTCAATATAGTCTTTCCACTTCATGTCAGCTGAGAATGTGAAGAAGGTGTAACGAGTCACTTTCCTTGAGGATAGCATCAGCCATGCTGATGGAAGACAGTGATTAATAGAGAGACTTGGAGGTATTAAAATTATCACGTCATCTTTTGCCCCAGTTAACGATGGACGTGAGGTTTTTTTGGACATCAGCTACCATTTTGACCTTGTCAGACTGATCAGCTTTAATACTGAAGCAGTAGTAAATGGTTATGCCATTAGTGTAGATACCAAATTGAGAGCTGATGTCACCAGGAAGGTCATTAATGAAAATTAAAAACAGAGTAGGACTAAGGATGGAGTTCTGGGCGACACCTGTGTTAGTATGAAAGGATCTAGACGAGTGGCCATTCAGGATAACTTTCATTTCACGATTTGATAGGAAAGACTGGATCCTCTCAAAAAAGTGTCTGGAGATGCTGTAACTTTTCAGATTGTAGAGAAAATCTGAATGCTAGACTCTGTCAAAGGCTTCACTGTTTTTATCTAGTCATGACAGACACTTTCTGCAATTATTGTCAGTACATCAGCAATTGACCTGGTGAAATGAAAGCCCTATTACTTGTCTGAGAAAAAGCCCTGTGATGAGAGATGATGAACCAATTTGGCATTGATTAAGGCCTCTAGGAGTTTCCCAAAAAGAGGTAGAAGGTTAATTCTTAAAAACTGGAACAATAGATGATGACTTCCAGCAGCAGGAAGACATTTATTATATAGCTTAGAGAGAGCAGGAGCCAGTTCGAGAGCACACTTCTTAATGACTATTACAGGGATACCATCAGGTCCACAACGCTTACAGTCAAAGGTTAATAAAAGGAGTTAATGCTTACAGCTAAAGGCTTAATAAAAGAGTTATGCTTACAACTTCCTTAAAAGCTTAATAAAGGGAGTTAATCTGGAAAAAATGCTCACAACTATATTTAATGTTAGCTTTTGTAAATATATTTACCTCATACATTATATTAATATCTAACTTGTACATATCTTTATGATTAATTTTATATATCTATCATAATTATCAAATGCCATTAGAAAAGTCCAATTGTCAAAATGTAGAATTGTTTTATTTAATTTAATTAAGAATATTTTCAGATGTTTACCATTTATTTACCTATTTTTTTTAACAGCTATTTAAATCTGAAGTGTCCAAAGCTGCAGAAGCTCTGGTTGCACATTTTTCTAAAAGCAAAGATCCATTTGATAAGGTATGGATAGCTTTACAATGAGAATGATTTACAGTCTCATGTTGATTTTTTACTGTTTTTATTCATTCAAATCAAATGCATCCATTTTTTTTTTATAATGATTTTTACTTTTGGAAATTATTTTCTTAGCGTAGAACAAGTGCAAATATCAAAATTTAACAAATTTAGCATGTTGTAAAAGAGCATAGCATGATGAAAAAGACGCCGAACTTGAAAACAAAATTTTATCATCTAATGTTCATATTATTATTAAAGAGGAAAAAGATCAAAGTATTTTTTTTTTTATTTTTTTACATTTTTTAATCGTTCCTAGCACGTCTGAAATTTTCGTTAAAAATATGGTTTTTTGTTTGGTCAAAAAAAAGGACAGATAATCAATCATTTTCAATCATTTTTTTCGATTTGATAAAAAGATTAAAATCTTACTTTGATATTCTTTTAAAAATCAATTATCATTTTTTTATATAACTGATTTTAATAAAAACAGAAATTATACTGTTTATTTAAAATATTTTGAACCAAGCTTAACTTAGCTTCTGTTCTAAAAAAATGTAATTTGAAAATAAAACAAAGCAGGTCATAACCTTTCGCGTCGCTTAATGATTGACGAAAGGCACATTCATGATGTTTAGATAACTTACGGGAGGAGAATTCTTTCTACGGATGGAAGGAAGTGAAATTATTTAAGTGAACAAATTATTTACCTTGTTACTTTTTAAGGAAAACTTTCAGCGCTCTAATTTTTTATTTTTTTTTTTTTTTTTTTTTTGTACTTAGCTTTCATTTTTTTATGTTTATGATGCTTTATGGAAAATATAAAAGAAATTAAAAAAATAAGACTGTTAATAAAAGATTAAATTTCATAAAAAAAGGTATCTAATTAATTTAGGTACCTTTCTTATGAAATTTTATCAGAAGTGTACATAAAATACTATAATTTTATGTACATTTATTACATTTTACTGTGTTATTTGTATTTCCATTCATTTTATTATTAATTTTGATATTTCATTTATGGAAAAATGTCATAACTGAGATTAATATAAAAATAAGATCATATAAATTAAAGTTTAGCAGTAGTTAAATTTCATAAGATGATACTGTTACTTGTAGGTACCCTTCTCAGTTGAAATTGAAAACTCAAATTAACTTCTCCATACGTGTTTCAAAAAAAGTAAAGGGCTTAACAGCGGAGAACAATGCTGAACTCAAATAATGCAACTAAATTGTATTCTGGTTGGTCTTCCGTACTTGATAATTACTGACCGACTATAAACACAAAAATTATATTTTTTTTACATGGCTAATCTGATTGGTCCAAATTATACAATTTTCAAAGCGCTAGACAATGACAATCTCACAACGGACATTTTGAAAGGTTGATGTTGCTTTTAACTAATGTTAAAATATTTTTAAAATTCAATTTAAACATTTTTTAAAAATCTTTTTAAAATTAAAAAATAAGAAATAATTGTAAAAATTCAATTTTAATTGTTTTTAACTTGTTAAAATTTTTTAAAAAAGTCAATTTAAACATTTTTAAAAATTTTTTTAAAATTAAAAAAATAAAAAAATTAAAAATTTTTTCATTGAAAAAAATTTTTTGCTTTCAGAAAATATTGTCCATATTCATAAAAAAATTAATTAAAACAAATAAAAGCATTTGAAACTAAATAATATATTTGTTTTATTGAGTTTTGTATGTTACAATTCACAGCTTATTTTCATTTCAGGTACGTTGGCCAAAAAAAAAAAAAAAAAAAACATGATTTGCATTCTTCAAAGCCTTGTGCTTTTAACTATTGTAATCACTAAAACCGATGGTCTCAAATTTCTAGAGTTTTCATAAAATTAGTTATGGGGTGTTAATAAATATAAAAAAAATATTTCTGCCATGACTTTAATAAAAAAAAAACATATAATAATTTCGATCATCTGTGAATAGTTTCTGAAAGTTTCATTAACATCTGACAATTTTTTTTATTTTTGCAAGATTTTCCAAATTAATTTGTGTAAATACAAAAAAAAAAAAAAAAATTATCTATGTTATTTACTACCCCTTGTTGCGACAAAAGAGAAACAAGGTTTTTTAAATCAAAATTTAGAATATTCTAAAAAGATGGAAAATTTTTAAAAATAATTAAAAAAAAATTTAGTCTATCCTCTTCATAAAAACATAAACATTTTGACGATAAAATTTTTTTTCATAAACTTTTACGTCTTTTTCATCAGACTATGCTCTATGTTTTAGCGATTCAAAAGTGACTTAGGTTAAAAAAACCCAGGTTGTGTGTGTGTGTGTGTGTGTGTGTGTGTGTGTGTGTGTTTATATATGGGATCGGATTTCTTACATTTTTTTTCGCCGATAAAACAAACATCCACTTCTTTTTTTTTTCAGCAGGTATTTCTTATTGTCTTGCACACTTTTTTTTTTTATTTACATTCAGAATGCTTTAAAAATTCCATTTACAAGACAATTGTTTATAATAAAATTTCTATTCACCAAATCGATTGACTCATAATGATTGTAAACAATGTTTTTGTTTGGGTTTGACCAATTCGTAAAAAGGAAAAAAAAAAATAATTAAGACATGCGTGTCCGTCAACCTTAAACAATAATCTTTGTCAATTTTATTTTTCAGTCTTTATGATGGTGGATACTTGATCTATCTCTTACTGTTACATCCCCATGGCAAGGCCGGGCTTTACTTTCAGTATATATATATATATATATTACTACTAAACATCTTTATATATAAAAAATATATATATATATATATATATATATATATATATATATATAAAGATATGTTTACTGGTACAAAATTTTATGACTGCCATGAACAGACAAAATTAGTTTATTATTAAAACTCATAATAATAAAAAGTAAAAATGAAAAACTGGCTAGCTAACCAGTTTTGTACCTCGCTCAACAGAGCTAAATCATGGTAAATAAAGTAAATTATATAAAAAAGAACAATGGACAAAGTGTATTGGGGGAGAGAAAAAAATATTTAAATGGTAATTAGTTGAGGCCTAATACAAAGTCCTTCTGTTTACATAGAGAAGGCTTTAATGATAGAATATAGATGGCCTGCAATGCTTTTTTTCTGGTAATTAGAGGGGACTTGCTAAGGATGGTAAAAAGCATCACCACTAAAACTAACAGCACAATTATGGCTATTTATAAGGTGTTCTGCAATGGAAGACCCATATGTATTGGTCAAAATGTCTGAGGGAGTGTACTTAAGGTTTCAGATTTTCACTGAAACATGTTGTTTTATTCTAACATCCAGCCTTTGTGTCATTCTCCCTATGTAGTGTGAACCGCAACTACATTTAAAAGAATAAATTAACGAACTATTATGATGTGGAGGGAGAACATCCTTACACATAGATGGAAGGACAGGCCTGGCAGAGAAAACAACATGTGTGCTAGCAGCAAAGTCACAATGTCGAACTGTGGTAGAAACCTGCTTAGCAAACCTATCACTGATACTACCTAGCCAAGTAAAGCGTAGGTACACAGGACATCTTTTTACTATACCAGGTTTGACTTTGTTAAATTCAGCAATTTTATTCTTAATAATTGCTTGAACAATGCCTAATGGGTAGGCATTGTTGCAGAGAGTAGAAGTAATAAACCTAAGTTCATCATCCAACTTTATGTCAGAACAGATCATAAGAGCCCTATGGGTAAGGGTCTTAATTAAATTAATTTTGTGCTTGCTGGGATAAAAAGAATCCTAACAGGTATGTAAACCAGTAAATGTCGGTTTACGGTAAACTGATGTAATAAAATCTGACATAGATCTGCTGACCAGTACATCGAGAAAGAGAAGAGACGAATCAACCTCCTTTTCCTGTGTAAATTTCAAGACCAGATGCATATTGTTAAGGGATGCAAGAAATTGGTTCGCTTTAATCTCGTTATCGAAGAGACAAAAAGCGCATTGACGTAACGGAAATAAACGTCGGGTTTATCAGATTTTAGTAATACACTCTCTTCTTGGAACCCAAGAAAGATATTTGCTAAAATGGGCCTCAAAGGGGAACTCATCGAAACACCATCAATCTGTCTGTACATGATGCCATCAAAACTGAACTCAACTGACATCATGGCAAATTTCATCAGTTCAACAAACACATCCTCCGGAATAACAGGCAGAGACAATTGACTATGATACAGAGCATCAGCACATATCAATAGTCTCAGCAAGTGGAAAGCAAGTAAATAAACTGGCAATATCATATGAACACATAAATTTATCCGTAGGTGAATAACGCTGCATAAAACGGGAGAATTCAAATGAATCTTTAATAAAAGCAGAGTTATACTGCTCCAAAATCGGTTGCAGTATAGTGGAGAACCATTTAGCCACACTATGTTGAGAAGACCCAATCACAGATAGAATAGGTGTCAATGGTGTCCCAACTTTATGAGTTTTGGGTAAGCCATAGAGACAAGGACGAGTGGAGCCCGAGGATTTAATTAAATTTGAAATATCAGTGGGCAATTTTCCACTTTTTGCCCACTTAACCAGGCGTTTTTGGAACTTGACCTCAATAGATAATGTAGAATCAAATTTATTGTGCCTAACTGGACAAATTTAGAGGAATCCCCAAGAATTGTCATCATCTTGTTAACATAATCCTGATAATAAAGAATAACGACGCTAGTACCTTTGTCGGGTCTTGTAATTACTAAAGATTTATTATTACAAAGTGTTTTATTTACCTGAAATTGCTCCTCATTCCACTTCAATTCATTATGTGAAACGGGAATACCAGTGTAGCAATGTGCTATATTATTCAACTTTCCCTTGAGATTTCAGGACTTGCTAGTAGATTTGGGTTGGAGCTTAGCTAGCTGCGCGAACAAAACCTCAAACTCCCTTTGCGTTGTTCTCCCTATGTAATGTGAACTGCAACTATATTTAAAAGAATAAATTAACAAACTATTATGATGTGGAGGGAGAACATCCTTACGCATAGACGGAAGGACAGGCCTGGCAGAGAAAACAACACGAGTATTAGCAGCAAAGTAACAATGTCAAACTGCGGTAGACACCTGCTTAGCAAACCTATCACTGATACTACCTAGCCAAGGAATGCAAAGGCTGGATGTTAGAATAAAACAAGATATTTCAGTGAAAATCTGAAACCTTAAGTACACTCCCTTGGACATTTTGACCAATACATACGGGTCTTCCATTGCAGAACCCCTTATAAATGGCCATAATTGTGCTGTTAGTTTTAGTGGTGATGCTTTTACCATCGTTAGCAAGTCCCACTCTAATTACCACCTAAAAGCATTGCAGGCCATCTATATTCTATCATTAAAGCCTTCTCTATGTAAACAGAAGGACTTTGTATTAGGCCTCCAACTAATTACCATTTAAATATTTTTTTCTCTCCCCCAATACACTTTGTCCATTGTTCTTTTTTATATAATTTACTTTATTTACCATGATTTAGCACTGTTGAGCAATGTATGAAACCGGTTAGCTAGCCCATTTTTCATTTTTACATTTTATTATTATGAGTTTTAATAATAAAACTAATTTTTATCTGTTTATGGCAGTGATATATATATATATATATATATATATATATATATATATATATATATATATATATATATATATATGGATGTATTTAGATGTAGAATATGTATGGGTATGAGATTGTTTTTAATATGTAATGTATACATATTATGGTATTCTATAGATATATGTGTATATATGTGAATATAGTTATTTTAAATATATATATTAGATATACCACTTTTATACTAGGTCGGGTTATTGTGTTACTTGATAGATTTGTATATAACTATATGATTGGGTGAGGTGTAGATGGCTCTGATCTGTATGTTTTGTATTTATTTATTGTATATATGGGTATATGTAGATATAGAGATACACATGTATAGTGCTCATATTTTGTATTGATGTTAATCATGTACATTTTGTATTTATTATCTGTTTGTGCTTTTAGAAATCTGTTATTTGCACTGTGACAGTCAATAATACAATGTATGTATTAAGAATAGAGAGCGGTTAAATATATTTTGACCAATTTGGGTACTACATGTTAATTTATATGAAAAGTTTATCATATAGATAGAGATACAGATACTTATTGAACTTAAATCTGTGAATTTTTAAACTTAGTAGAGTTATACTAGATAATTCTGATCTGATTAATTTAATTTTATTAAGTCTCTTCTTATCCTGTTAAACTTTAATAAGTTTATTTAAATTATAAAAGTTTGTGATTATTGCTTATTTTATATACTTTATATAATGTATCTAATTACATAAATAGATTTTATTTAATAGATATTTTCTTCTGTATATCATAGTATTTTTATTAATTATTTATGGAGAATCTCACAGATAATTATATTTTAAAAACAAAACACACACACACACACATATGTTTATAGAATATATATATATATATATTTGCATGTGTAGAAATGTGTGTGTGTATAGAAAAAATATGTGTGTGTGTATAGAAATATATGTATGTATATATATATATATATATATATATATATATATATATATAGTTCTATATTTTATATTTTTTATTTTGAATAGATCATTTTTACGGCTAAATTGAAATCTTTAACTAGGTTTTGAATATTTTTTGAATGTTCTTAGCCAACCATTATTTTTAATATAAATTATAACAGTTTTTTTTTGTTGAATACATGTGTCAAAATCTTAACTGATGAAGAACCCAGACAGATTTTTGAATTTACACCTAAAATCTGTTTTCAAATGTATTCTCAATTGTCAGTTCCATGTAATGATTTTTGTCTGCAATCCGCTTGTCAATTTAGGTCATTGTGAGTTTTAATACAACTAAAATGACACACCGTTTTCTTTTCTCGCCTTCCTACACAATGATAACTTAATATCTTTCTTTCCCCTACTCTCTATATGAAATCACTATTCTTAATTTTTAAACCCAGAGTAAATTTTTCCATCTTCATTTGGTTTACATGTCCGAAGATTTGAAGCCATGTTTTATTGACTTCAACGAAATAAAATCTTACCTATGGTTTTTTTTAAGTGTTTGTTTGTCATTATATAATAATTTTTGCTCTGTCTTTTGACATAGAGCTCCCAATGGATCTATATCCTCTTGGAAATTCCATACAGATTACCTGTATATATATTATATATATATATATATATATATATATATATATATATATATATATTCCAAAAACAGTTTAAAAAGTTTGCTATCATTATAATATTAATAATTATCAAATAATGATCCAATATATTTAAACATCTTACTTACAGCAGTGACCTTCACATTAAAACTGGTACAAATACAAATATTATCACAATTTTTCTTTGACAAAAGATTTCTTTTTTTATTTCAAGAAAATTTATTTTATACATAGAATAATTAATGCAATTTCTCATGGAAATAAGGAGCTACATCTTCCAAAAACACTAATTGAAAATGACTCTGGAATTAATTTTATAATAAAAAAATTATGTAACTCCTAAAATTAGAAAAGATTTCTGGATGAGTTTAATTTCTGGATATTATTTTCCCCCTCAGCTTCGGCTTGGTAGTTCAATTGAAACTCCTGAAATTGGTGAATTAGTACTTTCCCAGTTGTGTCCTGCTGTTGCCCAGGTAATAAATGATGGATTGAAACCTTATGAATCGGGTTTACATGTATTTGGAAGAGTCCACATTACTGTTTGGAGGGTGGCTGAAGCTTCTGCTGAACCTGGTGAGTTTTAGGATTTTATATTCTTTTACTATTTTTGTGTTTTATGGGGAAAAAAAGATACATTTTTTTGACCTGTGTATGAATTCTTGATATTTAGGAAATTTTCAACACAAAGTCTTTAATGCCAGTTAACATTACTAGATATTAAACCTGGTAGTTCTCTTGTTTTTATTTTTAGGTTATGTCTGGTAATAATTGCACATTCTTTTTATTTAGTTTTGTATAAGAAATTATACAGTTCATTAATTTAATGGGATTATCAAAATAATCTGAATGGTTCTTAAGAAATAGTATTTCTCTATGTATTTACAATTAATTTTTTAAAACTTCTATGCTTATTGTAAGATTTAATTCTCTTATTTATACTTTGCCAATAAAACAAAATTAAGAATAGTTAGATTTATGTTTAATTCTTGTAAATATGGGCAAGAACTAAATATTTTATCTTTTAGCTTCCAAGTATTTTTAAGATTATCAAACAAGCCTGCTTTTCAAATGACTGGTTATTATTCTCTTACCTATTATGACAGAAAAACGATCTGGTTATTTAAATTTGTTTCAATATGCAATTTACTTATCTAAGAATATCTAAATAAAAAATATAGCTAAGCAAAATGATTAATTGAGCAGATTCATCTAATTTCAAACACTCTAAAACAAGTATATATTTTTCTATTTTCTAGGTCCTTCTACCAGAGCAATTTGTGACATTGTAAAGGAGCTGAAAAACAGACCAACCCTTGTGTCCAACAAACATAGATTTGATGCCTTCATCTTTGCTCTGTTGAAGTAAGTTATTTTAGTAATACATTGAATTTGGTTATCCTTTGAATTTCTCTTTATTATTATAGACATTCAATGCAAAATTTTAAAATTTTTAATGAATTCTAAAATGTATTCTGGTTCTAAACTACAAATGTATTATTTAGAATTGCTTTCATTCTCAATAAAATATATTATTATTCAACAAGGCCTATATCTGTGATCAGTTAGCCACATTAAATTATTGGCCACATTGCAATATGCTGTGTTTGTATAATGTATCAAGTAGCAATTCGTGGCTTGAAGGTCAGGATCAAAGTGTAATATCTGTTTACCTTATTTTAGATGAGAGAAGGCACCTGGTTTTAGGAATTCCAACCCTGTTAAAGCACCTTCCTTATTGCACTAATAGAGGTAGGCTTGGTGTAACATCAACACTAGTCTTGGGGATTGGACAGTTTTTGTCCTTAACTCATATGTACACATATGGGCACCCACATAAAAAAAGACTGAGTTATATCCTGTCATGTAAATAAAATCAAATAACAATTCCCAGTCATATTTGAAATACAGGTGAAAATAGTGAGAAAATATTGATAAATTTAACAAGACCAATTTTTTAAGCTTCTGTTTTCAGAATGTGTTTTGGAAATAATGGTTTATTTCATTGTGAGACTTCTATGAAGAGCACAAATAGTTGATTGATCAAAACTTGCTTCTCACTTAAATTGACCTGTTCCTTAAAAATTTGCAGGAATTTTTAAAATATTCTTCAGATATTTCCACAGGTTTCTAGGTCAAGTGATAAAATCCGTTTTTCTGTTCACTTTTTTTTCCTCATAGGTCTTCAGTTTTTTTTCTGGTATGCTTATTTATTCTCTTTATCTTAGCCTTTTAAACAATGTTATTCTCTCACAAAAGGAAATTTGACATTTTTATTTGCATTTCAGTTCTCGCCTGTTGGACTTTTGGTTGGGTTATCTGCGCCACAAGGATAACCTGATTTGTCATTTCTACAATGCTGGTGCCCTGCTGCAGCAACTGTACATCAGTGATCTTGAGAATGCTTATGAAGAAATGCTCCTCTCCTTACAGCCGCTGTCTGTCTTACCATTCCAGCTTGATCTGGACTTTGTCTCTGGAAACAGTTGCCATGAGCCCCCCAATGGCGAGTTCCTTCGTCTCCAAGACACAACCACTTCATTGCCTGATCTCCGGGCTGGTGTTCCAATTCATGGATCACCAAAGTTCAGTCTCACATCTGTCCGATATGAAGAGGTAGGTAAAAGGATTGTTTAATATTAGATGAAAAATAAAAAGTTAAATTTCTTTGATTACATTCAGATTTGTGCAAAATCATTTTAGAATTGCTAAATACAAAATGGATGAAATCCATTTAGATTTTGGTCTCTTACTCAAATTGGGTTTCTTTTTATTTTTATTTTGTTTAATTTTTGCCTCAGTTGGCACAGAAAAAAAATTTTACATTAATATTCTTATCTTTGCTATTTTGATTATATAACATGTGTTTTGTCCCAAATGAGAATCATCCAATAAAGCAATATTAGTATCTGTCTATATTTCTGAGATGAGGTATTATGTACACTATTTACATTATTCAGACTCATCTTGGTTGTCATATTTATCACGTTTCAGCCGTTGTATGCTCCGGCTTTCTTCAGGTGGTTGGAATGTTGAACTGAACCCTTTATTTCGCTCACTGGGGTAGACTGTTCTAGTTCCACGTGCCATGTCTAATGGATGTCAGTTATCAGTTATCTCCGGTTAATTTCACTCTCCAAGTTCTCCACTGCCTTAACCAGATATTGAACTCACACTCTTTGGGTCCTGTCACTGGATCTAACTAATGCCTTTATCCACTGTGCCATGTGTCCTCAAGTGGATAAAGAACTATTGTTAGTGGCACATTTCAACCAATCCATTTTTCAGTTCTCATTGTAAGAATTATTATTTCATTATAATTAACTTGTAATTTAAATAAATTGAAATATCTTCAAAATATATTATATAACATTTTTTATTTATGGTCTTTCAATTCTATATAATATTGATTTAATGTTTTATTTAGTTAGTTCCTTTTATCTTTTTTTATTGTATCAAGTAAAGGAAAAGGGATAGCATACTGATTAGAACTACATGTTTTCATGAGTGAAATAAAGTGTTCTTAGAGGTGCCAAATAAAATCTATCTGATAAGCTGGAGAGAGTGACAACTATAACGCTTCAATAAAAGCAATGAGGCAGAGGACTTTTCCCTAAATAATGAAATAATTAATCTCTGGACATAAAACTAAATGTATAATTTTATTCTTTTTCTCTCAATTTCAGCTAACTGAAGAAAATGCTCTTGGACATTCTGCTGCAAAAGCCTGGAAATGGTTAAGCAATTCTACAGCCAGCGCCTTACCAATTGCCAAGTCAGTTATGGCCAATGTTGCACAAAAAGTGACCCCTTCCATCTCCAAGCTTAGCTCTTCAATGAACAGAGCCACACTTGGAGACCCGGCAGAGACAAAAGTCACTGACAATCTTAACATGGATGAAGTCTTGCTACAAGTACTTGACACTTGCCATGATGAAGAAGATGAATCCTTGTCAAGTGCAGACAACTCAACATTACAAGGGTCCAGTGTTAAGTCTTTTACAGTGGAAGACCTGAAGTCTGCTGAAAATATTGAAGAGAAAGAGATGTCAAATTCATTACCTAGAGTAGAAAAGGATAGGCAGAAAATGGAAAGCAAGAATGCAATGATTGATTCTAAAGGTTTGGAAAAACAGAAAGAAAGTTTACTTGATGAATTATTTCCGGATGCAAATAGTATGGAAAAGCACCAGCAACAGGGACGACCCCTTACTATGTCTAATCTTGCACACAAGTTCCTGGGAATTGGAACTGGTAAGCGCAAACAAGCATACAGAAAAGGAGTCACAGAATATAGTTTTGATAGTGAGTCTGAGCCAGTTCAGAGACGGTCACAAAATATCAGTTCAGAAAAGGATGACAGTTCTTCTAGACAGAAAGAAAATTCAGACAAAGCCAGTGAAAGCTTAGTAAGTGAGGTTTTAGACAGATATGCTGAAAAATCAGCAAAAACTGAAGTTTTTGAGAAGGAGTTAGTTCAGAGTAATGTCAGCAATACTAACAGCAACAGTGCTAGTCATGCAGTCAGTGGAAGTTCTAAATCTTCCTTAACTAAATTAGAAACCCCACCAAATACATTTGATATCATTAAGCTGTTTGACAAACTCTTGCTTCCAAACAAACCAAGCCAGACCCCTGAAAACAGGCCCAGTGGCATGGCAGATACTACCCTTGAGAGAAATGGGCCAAACAAAAGTGCTTTCAATTTGTTTTCCTGGAAACCACATAGCTTGGTCTCTCAAAATTCCAAATCACTCACCCATGAACTGTGTAAAGTCACTGAATCAAAGTCATTAGTGATTAAGGACCAAAATGCACAAGATGAAGTGCTGAAATCAGATGAGGAAGAAAACAGCCAAGAGTTAGAAGAAACAATGGAATCTAGTCCAACCATGTTGTACAATTGGTATACCATGGAGGAACCACGTGATGTCTATCATGATTCCACAGATGATGAACATTCACCTCACCTTTCAGAATCTGTTGAGTCTTCACTTAATTACTCAAATCCTCAGGACCAATTCCGAATGCCTGAATACAGGTAAGAGTATATTCAAGACCTGCATTCAGTTTTGTATTTCAAATTTGACATGTTTTTTTCATTCTGGTGCTATTTATTTTATTTGGCTAATTCTAGAGAAAATATGTTGTAAAAAAGCTTCCTATCAGAAAAAAAGATGATTATAGTAATTGAAATTTTAATCTTTGTTAAAATCATGGAGAAAATGAAAAAATAATAAGCATATGGGTAAAAATTCAAGATTTCTATTATCCGATGTTTATATTCACATTTGATGAATGCTATTTATAACAAGGAATTTTGTCTTTAAAATAGTATTTATTATCTTAGTTTCAAATATTTTGAAAATAAAATATTTTTATCATAAACAGAATATACTTAGTGTCCATATTAAACTTCTCAGAAAGATTGAAAAAGTGAATTCTTTTTAAAATTTAATAATATATGAAAAACCAAAGTGTGTGTGAGTAGATTTGCATAATTAACTAACATTATTTTTGTATATCAACTTTGATTCTCTATATTTATATGGTATTCATGCACATGCTTAAAAAAATACAAATTAATTCCCTCTCATGTCCTATTTTGGTTGCCAAGCTAGATCTTAAAAATCTTCAGTATAAAAGATGGAAAAAAAACTTAGTCTATGCAAATCAAGTCAGATTGTTTATGCCATGATTATTAGGATATTATTAAAGGGAGACAATTTGTTGACTCCCTTTTTTTAAAAATTTATTTCTGTTTTTAAAGATCTTTTAAGGAATATTTAAAAGATTAATTATAAAAAAGAAAATTGTCCTGATATTGAGAAAATCTTTTGTTCACAATATGAACCACAAATTCATCTGCATAGATATTGATGCAACAAAATACTATCTGAATTATTTATTTATATATATATATATATATATAGAAAAAGTTTCAAATTGAAAATTATAATGTTTTATTTTATGAAAGTATTTATTTATTTATATATATATTTGATATTTCAAATTGTCCTCAATTTTTCATCAGAAATAACTGTTTGTTGCAAAAAATTTCTGATGAAAAATTGAGGACAATTTGAAATATCAAATATATATATAAATAAATAAATACTTTCATAAAATAAAACATTATAATTTTTAATTTGAAACTTTTTCTATATATACATATTAAGAAAGTATACGTGGCTTCTCATTATGCTATATATATATATATATATATATATATATATATATATAGTGTATTAATTTTAATAGGTTTTTGTATTTAAATATGTATATATATATAAGATAATATATTTATTTATAAAGGTCTGTTAGGCAAATTAATGTCAAAATGGAAAAGTTTTGTGTGATATTTGATTCTTTAGGACTTCATCAAAAAAATTATCATATTCTCTCATAAAGGTCTGTATTTTTTGTATGTATAAAGTAATGGTTTGTATACATTTGTGCATCAATGTATGCAATTTCTTCTGGATTTGTTTGGTTTGTTAAAATTGAGTTGTGTAGTTTCTCAATAGAGTGCTTCTAACAAATGGTAAATCCATGTATTAAAGGCATAATTGCAATTTGGGATAATCTGCAAATTCAAAATATTTGTGTAAGAGCCAACATATAGTTAGAAGAGGTATGTATGATGTATATGTATGAATTTTAATATAATATGTTTATTAAGAATAAATCTATTATGCAAAGTGTACTCATGATTGTTTGTCCTCCTTTATACTTTTGTCTGAATAAAATCTAGTTGCAAATTATGTATTTTTTGAATTCATAGACCAAAGCATTGCAACATTAATTAAATCATTTGTGCATTTTGCTAAAAATTGGTCATAAGAGAATAAAGAAATTGATGCTATGAAAACATTGAATAAGACATATATATACAATAAAAAATTAATTTGGTCAAGTTGCTAAAATAGTATTAGGATTTTCTTATATTGAAAAAATATTAAACTTTATTAATTTTTATTTTTTATTTTGTATTCTTAAAATTGTAGTTGCTGCTTTTTTCATTTCCCGTCACTGTGTGATTGCATTTATTTTTTCTTATTTGTGTTATCATTTCATCTAAATATGCTCATTTAAGATGATCCAGTTTATATAATCATTTAGAATGATTTAAGTTGTATATGCATTTATATTGAACAAAGATAATCCTTTATTACAGTTCAGTTCACATTTTTCTGTTTGTTCGACTTGTCTCATGCAGTTGATCTAAAATAATTCTACCTTAATTCTCTTTGATCCATGTTTTTCTGCTCACATTTAATGCTCACTATGTTATGAACTCAATTCAGATCATGTTAACTCATTATACTTGGAGAATGCTTCCAATTCAAAATAAGAGATTGATTAATTTTGTATAAAGAATATCAAATTAACTTCATACTAAATTAATTTTGACCATTATAATTTTTCAAACAGGGGAGATTTAGGGAACTTTTATGTAACATCAAATTTAACATTCTGTTTATTCATCTTGATTAGCAAACAATCTTCAGTTATTTTAATTCATTGCTACTCAGAATAGCAATGAATCATATCCATGTGTTCATTTTTAATAATGTTTACTCATGCTAAATTATTTCAATTATTTCAATTATTTCTTTATAATGATCTGTTTTTTTCTGTTGATCAGTGTTTATTAATTTTGTTTAATATGTTTAATGTCCATTTACCATCATCTATTATCTCCTAGATTTGTTTTGAATTCAGCCACTTTGGTCTTTGGTCATTTTTTTGTAATGATCTGCTTGATTCATTTTCATTGTATGTTTTCATTTTTTATCATATCTGATATAAACTTATTTTTTATGATTCATGCAAAGCATCACCTTTTATTATTATTATTAAATAATGCTTCTCATCTTTTCCATTACTGTACTAAATGAAATCAGCAAAGAAAGAACCAAATGATCATTTGTAAAATAGAAAACAAAAACAAAAGAAAAAAACGTTTTTTAGTAAAAAATTTGAAATTGTTTCATTTGGTATAGTACTAAATCATCTACATATTTTTTTTGCTAAGTTTTATTCTCTTTTTGCTTATTTTTCACCATTTATGTTTGATTCCAGGCACTAGTGTTGGTCTCTTGGCCTGGTCCACTGTCATCCCTCATTTTACAGGTAATTGATGCACCCTCCTTTCCCATTACAATTTGCCTTCCTTTGGTGCTGGTTCTAGCAATAAGCCCTACATGCTATGGCAATAGGAAAAAAGGCCTTAAAATATAAACCTCCTTTCAATATTTCCAATCATCTGACATTTTTCTATCGTTTACTAACCACGCTTATTTACATTATATTTAACCTTTTTAATTATGTAAATGTTTTAAGTTATTGTATTCAGTTATGGTCAGGTGAATTTATCTATTTTGTAATGTACTTATAGATGCTTAGTAATCTATTTACATACATTTGATACAGAAAACTCAAATGAATCTTTTTATTGAAAAGTATTAGTAACGTAAATTATTCAAGTTTGGTATAAAAAACAAAACTGTTTTGAAAAGAAGTGACAGGATGAAATAATTTATTGACTTATTTTACTGTGATACCACTTACTGATTAAACTATGAAAGTTAACCAGTTGGTATTATTCAAATCACCTTTTGTAGTTATATTACTCTCTTCTCTAATCACTATACCATCATCATCTTGCACTAAGTTGTCCAAATTTCTCAGATGATGCTTTCGTATTATTATTAATCTTTGACTAATATTTCTTTTTATTGCAAAACTCAGTTATTCTAAGACTGTTATCAGCAAAAAATCAGAAGTAAAGATTAAATTTCCAACTGATTGAGCTCTCATCCATTTACAGCATCTTTTGCCATTGATAGTTACTGAGCAGGCTATAAAAGTCCATCAGTTAGCATTTTCAACTAGCCATGTAACTTACTCCATGGTCATAGTGTAATTGTAGGAATAAATATAAAAGTTACAATATAATAAAGAGTTACAATATAATGCAACAGAAATAAGATGAATAACATACTGGTGAAAAATTAATATTGCTGAAAGTGCATCATGTGAGAAATTCAAATAATTTAGGGCTCATAAGATTTACTAAGTTGAACATTTAAAATAATTTTTATAACTAATAAAATTGGGCAATTTATAAATTTAATTAGATCTCACCATTTATTTTAAAAGCATGTAAATGAGTACTCACAATAGTCAAAATAGTGCTGTTAATAGTCTATCCTTAAAAATATATGCTTGTGTTTCTCTTAATAATGATTTTATTCTGAATTTACCACCAAAATGCTTATTTATGTTCTCTAAATTGTAATAATTAAAAAGACTTCAAAACAAACTTAATACTTTTTCTTCACTTCAATGTTGTAAGAGTTACAAGTTTAATTCTCCTCATTTGAGCTCTCATTTGTTTATTCTAAATCCAGGCTTAACTTTTTTAAATTTGTGTGCTTACACTTGTAATCTAATAAACATGAACCAATATTTGGACTTGACTTAGATTATCTTTGCTTCACCTTGTTTCATTGAACTTACACAGCCTAGAAAATTTATTTCCACTGATTTGTTTTGATGAGATGTACTTAGACAAACATAAACAGTTTACTTGGATGAACAGACACTTGAAAATGCAGTAAGGCATCCTGGTGGAAATTTTATGATAATAACAAAGATGATGATATTTTCCCAAATGTGAATAATAACTCCTCATTCCAGAAATTCAGACTTTTTCTTTAATATTGTAGAGAAAATAATAAGACATTTTATTTTGCTTTAGGTTTGTCAAAAGGAAATTGTGAAATAGATTTAAATCTGTTATCTAAAAATTTAATGCTTCTGTACAAAGGTCTTCTTTTCCGATAAAGTCTTGGTTAGGATGAGAACTTTTCAGCACTCCTTATGAAAAGCTATCAGTTATAAGATTTATAAAATTAGAATTTTTAACCTCTTATTTGAAGTTCTTATAAAATATAAACCAAATTAATTTTTTTGTTTAATAGTGCATTTAATATTTTTAACATATGTGGTTTCATTAATAAGTGTGTAGTCAGACATGTAATTAGAAGAGAGTACTGAAGTTTTCAGCCTGGTCAAGGAGAGACTTCAAATAATAATTCTAATGATTGGTTGGATTTTGAGAACTGGTTTGAGGAGTTTTCTGCATCTCACTTTATATTAGCTGAATTTTGATTTGAAATTTTCATTGTATAATGTTTGATCAGTATTATTAATATTCACTATTTAATTTTGTGCATGAATGGAAGATTATACTGAAAAATATATTAATTTTTTTCATTATAAGATTATGGACTCATTGATGTACAGGAAATTTGAAAGTTCTGAAGTTATATATAAATATAACTTCAGAACTTTCAAATTTCCTGTACATAATATATTTTCTCCTATTTTGGTTTTAATTGTGTTAAATAAAAAGTACAAATTAAGGACTGATGAAAATTCTAACTAATAGTATTAGACTATTAGAACTAATTAATTGTATTAGACTGTAAGTTAGTATTTTTCAAGAGAAAATTGTAAAATCTCTTGGCAGTTCTCAGTGATATCTATTGTAGAATAAAATGCCGTAGAAAATGTTGAATAAATATATTTGTATTTGTAGTACATGTTATTTTATATAGTGTTGTATTTCAGTGAAGTCTGTTTTGTGATTTGTTCAATTAGATGTGCTTCTATCTTTCTAAACTTTTCATAATATTGTTTATATTTTGTGCTTTTTATTTATTTTTAACCTTGTCAAGGAAAAAGAAATAGTTTTCTCAACAGAAAGGCAGTTCAAATTCTCTTAATGTTGATTTAGTACAGAAAAATGTTTAATATAACAATATAGATAGTCAAACGTTCCTGATTTATTTTTATCCTTACTTTCTGAATAGTGGCATCAAGGAAGAATCATTATGAAGATATGTAAAATGAATGATCAAGAAATGTATTGCTTTATTCATTTTGCACTATTTTGTCTTATAAATCATCAAATAAACTTATTGATGTAATTCTGTATTTTCTTGATGTATTAATAAAAGATATAGATAACTGATTTTTCAGTTATCTTCAGTCAATTTCAACTCTATTCAAAAAGAATTTTTCTTTTTTTTGATTTTGTAAGCAAAACGTTAAGCAGTTGATATGAAATCAGAGTGGCATAATTTTGATAGCTTAATCCAAGATAGTAACCAAAGTCTTGTTTTACTCTCTCCGCAGCCAATATTGATACTTGGTTTTTAAATTTTCTCAATTTAAAACTTGTTTTTGTGATACATTTTGAGCTCCTCAAGGTACAGGATTCATGAGTCAACATGATTTATTTCAGCTGATCGTAATTGTCTTCCTCTGTAAATTTTCTCATCAATAATGTATTTTCAAAGATTTGAATGAGTCTTTTTAAGATATTTTCCCAGAAATATTAACATTAACTAAATTTTTAATAGATTTTTTTTTCATTTATGCTTGTTTTGCTTTGCAGATCATTTGCTTTTTCTTTTTTTTTTACTTCATTTTTTCTTTTATTGTTTTTGCTTCTCATTTCATTTACATATTCATTTTTCATTATATTATGAATGTATTTTGTATTTGGCCTGTGTGTGATGTTGATCATTTGGTGATCTTCCCATTATTAATTCACTGACATTTACAGCTGCTGATATGATGGTATCTGTGTTGTCATAATTACTACAGCAATCATACTTTTATGCAAATGACATTTTCTGGTGTATGTTCTCTATTGATTATATATATCCATCTCCTGATGTTCATATTGTGTTTTACTTTAATGTCACATGGCATCAAGACACATTTAAAAAATCTTTACTTGTCTTACAAAAATGTTTTGGCAAAAATGTTTTTCTTTTTAATGATACTTAAACAAAGAGTAAAAAAGTACCATTTATCAATAGAATGCTAATGAATTAACAAAATAGTTTTGATTTGCATTGCTAGTAGTTTTCTTGTATTTAATTCTACTGGCTATGACCTGAACTGAAATTTCTGTGTTCCTTGCTTCAATACATAAAAGCATTAATCTTTAAAAAGTATTAATCAAGTATAATTATTATAATTTCTTCTACTTATTTTTTGAGTCATCAAAGCCATGTGTTTGAAATGAAACATGTATTATCTAAAGTGAATTATTTGTTTGGTTACACTCCTGCATTTAATTAACCCCAGTTAGACTGAATGTTGTGAGCATCTTTTAAGAGGAAAGGTACAATTATATATCATTTAGTGTAGGCAAAATTCTAAATTCTTAAAACTACAAAAAAAGAAAATCTTAAATCTCTAAAAATATGTTCCAAAGATTTGTCACTTTGAAAAAATTGCTTTTTAAAAACAGATAAAAAAAAATATCTCAAAACTCAATTGCTTGTGTTAGAGGATTATGTTCTGATTTTTTTTCTGATGAAAAAGATAAAGTAGCAAGACAATTCAGAAATATTTTGTTTTTTGTGATTTTAAATCTCTTTATATAGAGAAACCAGATAAACCCAGTAATGAAAATCAGGCCATTTTGTAGGTGTAAAATTTTTTGTTAAAGTTTGTCTTTATTTAATTTTAAGTTTATTTTTAACTGATTAAACAGAAAACATGTTTCTTACAATACATTTTTTATAGTATAACTGAAAATACATGTTTGAAGGTACATTCATAACCCGGCTGCTTGCCATGTAGTTAGTGGAATTTTGATCCGAAAATTTCACTGTATGTCATTACCATTAAATTATGTTGAAAAATAAGTATTTGTGTAAAATAAATACTTTTTTCATCATTAGGCTGCAGATTATATATTGCATAATGAAGACAGCTGCCTAGTTGGACCAAATTCTTCTATTCAATTTATGTTCTCCTAATTAATGAAATTCTATCAAGTAGAAGGCTTACTTTTTTTTTTTTTTTTTTTTGTGGGTAAAAGACTATTGAAGCAGCTGTTTTAGATTTGTAATGAGGAGTAACATAATAGTACTTTTAGTACTCTCTAAATTTATAATTTTTTTTTATTATATTGATTAAAATGATTTCTCAGTATGACCTTGGTCAGAAATAGCTCATGGAATCACTCCTCCTGGGCAAGTTTCTTAAATACTTTTATAGACTCACTCAAGCAACAATCTTGCAATGCTATTAATTATTTGTATATTTGTTAAATTAGCCAATGTTGATGTAAGATGATCAGATTTGTGGCACAAACTCCCTAGCAGAGATGCTATCATATATAATTCCTTTCGTGTATAATGTCTTTGAAAATTCTTTTAGGTTCATTTTCATTAAGTAAAATACCAAAAATATTTTCTATTTATAATGTAGATCATCTTTTATTTCGTATGCTTGTTTCTATCTTCTCAAAAAGAGACATTAACAAAACTATGAATATACCTTACTACTCATGGATCTGTTATAATGTTTTAGTTTTGGAGTCTGTATTTGGGACCAGGAAGAAATATGATAATAAATTACATCACAAGCCAAATTTGGAATATAATACATTGTCACCAATAATAAAAAGTAGTAAAAAAAAAAAGATGTCTGTAAATAATTGCAGGCATCAGATTCCTTTTCTTTTAAGGTATTGTAAAATATAAGAGTGAAAGTAATATAATAAAACGTAGATGGTACAAGTATGATGCTTTTAAAAATTTCCATCTTATTTAATTCCCTATTATAAAATTATGATTACTTTGCATTCCATTTTGAAAATGAATTGCAAACTTTTCATGTGTTGTGTAAATATTAATAAATGTATAAAAATATAAGCATATCCTTTATCGCAATTTAGTTATTCACTGTAAATGTTTCTTCATGTGTTGTTCTAATTATTGCATTTTATTTTTTTTATTTCCAGGTATGTCCGAACATTGAAAGCTAGTTACACATGTACTGAAAAGGAAGGTGACCTTCTGGATTTTGAAGATGGCGAATATCTTGAAGTGTTAGCTCAGCTGGACCAATCCTGGCTGTACTGTGTAAATGGTCAGCAAGAAGGACTTGTCCGAATCTGCTGGACTGAGCCACTATTTGACGAAGCCATATTTGAAACTCTTCATGACAATTTTTATCGCTGAGAACATTATCATGACTGAGGAATAATGGAAAAAAAGAAATTACTAATAATTATTTGGTAAAAAAAAAGGAAACAATTATCAATTGGTCACTTGATTACAATTGCTGATTTAAACATGTTTTTTGTCTGTTATATTAATTTTATGTACTTTTATCTTTGTATGTCTCTATGTAGCTTATTTCACAGGCCCAGTGACAGTGTGTGTTGCGCTTTCCATTCCCACTTTTAAAATAACAATATAAGGCCTATTCATGTTTTCTGTTTGGAGAGCATGAGTGTATAGCTTGTGCTCCTCTCTCTGCTGATTATTTATATATACATGTTAGAAAGACAAAAGAAATAGATCATGCAGGTCAGGTAGTGGATCAAATATTTTGATTTTAGCCCCAGAATCAGATTAAGAATTGTGGTTGCATATTCAGAAGAAATGACAAAAAGTAAAACAAAAAATAACAGGTAAGAAGCATATTAAGTTGATTGCATTTTATTTTCCAACCAACTTTTTATAACTTGTTCATTGTTAACTTAATTTCTAAAACAACAATTGTTTCTATTCTTTTTATAAATTACTTTTCTTTGATAACTTTAACAATTACTATAATTATGTTAGTATATTTATTAGCACAAATATTTTAATTCTTTTAATAATTATTAGTTTTATTATTTCCACTTTTTCTTAAACCTAATTTCTATGATAATTTAATATTTTATAGTAACAATCCACCTATTTATATTAGTGTTATTGCTATTACTACAGGAACTACTTCAACTCTACACTATAGCATTTGCATCATCAATCATAATTATTCCAGTTCCAACTATTAGTTTTCTCTTAAACTTTTGCTATTATTACATCTATTAAAATATTCTTGCTAGCAATATTTATATGACTACAAATGTCCTTATTTGTCCAAATGTATTTGATGAAAGAAACTATTGGCATTATACTATTTTTTCAGGATATTTGTTAGAAATACTTTCAACCTTTGGGTAGATTTTTTTATAATAGGATAGCATTGTCTTGCATCCTATTAATCAGGTATTTGAAAAAGTAGATACTGTCATATCTTTACAATTGATTTTTGATGTTTACTTATAAGTTGATCTTGGACCACAAGAACCAAATAACCATTGTGATTAGGGATTGGATATATCACTAATATATTGGATTAAATGAGCCTTGTCTGCACTTATATCTTGTAATACAGTGAATGGATACAGTAATTTATATGTGCAAGATTCAATTTCTCAACTGCATATGTTATGTGTTTTTATAAAGATTTTTTTACTAAATATATATATATTTTTTTTTATAGAGGTATGGTCAGAGATATACTGGTGATTGAATATTGTTCATAAAATACCTAATATTCTACTCTAACACACACACACACATATATATATATATATATATATATATATATATATATATATGAAATATTTTAAGATTACTTCTTTGTAAGCTATTTTTCACTGCATATTTTGTTACCTTAAAAACAGCTAGAAAGGAAAAACTGCAAATATTGGCTTTGGAATATAAACTGAATGTTTTGCATGCACAAGAACATTTATTGAACTACTTTATACTATTGCAGCAAGAAAAACATATATAATAATAAACAATTAACAAATTCCACACATCAGATTTTTTTAAGTGCTTCTTAGTTGGATTGACAATCTTTCAGCATTCCCACCCCCGTAAAAGACGCCCTCAAAAGTTCCTCAACTCTTTAAAATATAAATTTCTATTATAAATTATGCATGGAAAGAGCTAATCTGGTAACCTTCAAACTTTTTAAGCTAATGTTCAACATTATAGCTGTAAGACCAAAAGTGAAGATAAAACAAATGTTTGGGAATGAAATACTGACTGGAAATCTCTAAGTATTTTCTCCATTTAAAAATACCAGTGCTAACCAAGTTTGAAACTTAACAGACCTGTGATAAAAAGCAGACTAATAAAACTATTTAGGGCAAATTATAGTCAAAATGTTATTTTCAGTTCATAGAATGCATTGATTCAGTTTAGATGACGATGTATTTGTGTGTGTATAGGTAATATAGTGTGTGTGTGTATATATATATATATATATATATATATATATATATATATATATATATATATATATGCATTCAGAATAATGAATATTATAGGCTATTTGTTGGAAAATCCTTTATCGCTTTTTTGAGGCAGCAAATGATAAGTTATAACTTAGGTTTGGGGTGAAAAGTGGACAAGTTTTTCATTCTATGTGTCCATTATAAGAGCGTATCCATAAATATATGATATCTAAGTGTTATTAATTATATAAGCAGTTGCTAAGTTAATATAGCTGTTAATAGTGATCTATAAATAATCAGCTTTGATGGGGTACATTCATTCTCTTAAACGATTTTTTAATCTATTGTTTAATTTTTTAATTCTCTGTATTGCAAAAAAAAAAAAAAATACCAAAACAGAAAATGGAGCAAGAAAAGCAATGGTCAATGTTTTGGTTGAAAATATTTTTATTTTTTATGAGAACACTTCACTGGAAGGGGCTAAAAAAACAAAAAAACAAAACAAAATGCTTATGCAAGATGTGTGATATCCAAGTGAACTTGTTATTAATTATACACTGAACATTTTTTTCTACCCAAAACTAATAATTGGGCATTTATTGACATTTCCTGCCGTTCTTGATGAACAATAGAAAACATTTTTTATCATGATTATTCAACTATCCACAATAGAATGAAATGTTGTGACATTTTAAATGACAGTTTCTGATTTTCTTCAGGTGGTTTTCATTAAGCTTTGTTGTTTAGGGATACAGTTATTCAAAAAGCCTTTCTTATCAAAAGAAATTTTTCTTTCTTTGATATCCCAAACTTATTATATATCACTCTTTGATATATTTACTAATTTCTTTTTATTTGATGTAATTTGTTAAAAAGTTCATATTTTTTTTATTAGGGCTCTCTATTTATCTGTGGTAGAAAAAGAAAGGAAAGATTCAGAAAATAAATATGTATTATCACAGAGAATTACTTTCTGCTTTACTGGATTAGGAAGAAATGATACCAATGTGATTTCTTAAGAAATGCATACAATATGCAATAGATTAGTTACTTCAGGCTCATTTGAATCCTTAAAATGTTTAAGGTTGTTGCTATATAGAATTTAAGTTTTTCTTTCATGTCAATGCATGCAAAATAGGGATATCTAAAAAAAAACAATATACAGATCATGACAATTTAGCAGAAAGGGTATTTAGATAGAAAATTTTTCCAGTATATAAAAGTTTATAAATTTTAATCATAGAGGTAGTTATAGATTTATATAGATAATTTTGCTAATTGGTAGAAGTAAACAATTATTATTACTAATCAAATTGAGTTGGGTACAAAAACATTAATAATGTGCTAATGCTAGAAAAATAGTTAAAGAAGAAAATTGTTGGTTTGTTAATTAAATTTGGTTTGTTATTTCTTCTTGTATAATTTGGTTATGGTATTTCTTACTCTTCTTTAATCCACAATGAAATCATTTCTTCTGCAGTAAATGTTTGAAAGATATTGGAACAGTTTATTATTAATGATGATATTTTAAAATGTTCTGCTGCTGTTTTAGTTTTTTTTTTTATTTTTTGTTGCCATAGAAATGTTTGTGTTGTGTTTTGTCTGTTTACAGAGGCAATTTTTTAATCTTTTGTTCAGAAAGATTCTCTATAATTTCTATAAAAGAGAATAAATTAACACATCAGTATTTAAAATGTTTATAAAAATAAAGTAGACAAAGGTAAGCTAATAACCTAATCTCTTTATATATTTAAGATTAAAATGGAAACATGATTTGATGTGAATAATTGCTTAAATTTAATATCTATGAATAAAATTTTACAAATAGGTTTTTAATATATTTTTAATTAATCTAGTATTTTGCTATTTTAGCCCTATTCATTTTTCATCAGTGTAATCAATGCACATTTTTGTCACTCTGTTCTTTTTTACTTTGTAAAACAAAAGAACAGTGTTGGATTTTTTTATCCCAAACCTTGCACTGTTGTTTGTTGTGAATTTAAATTAAAACTGATACTTTGGCTTTTGTGTTCTTATCCATTTAAAATGCTTCTCTCTCCAAAATTTCCCACCTTTAATTCATATTGACCTACTTTTCCCTTGTAGTGATACAAAACTTTGCTTTCAATTTGCTTAGCATTATTAGCATTCATCATGTGAATGATTTTTGGACTTCCAACTCTACCCACATTGTTATTGGTTATAAAAGTTTCATTCTGTTTTAAAATATCTACTTATCAGTTATGAAATTTAAAAATCATAATGACAATATTGTTTATTAATGATAATATTTATTTATTAAAAATAAAAAATATATTCAAAATAAGGTAATAATAGAATGGGAACATTTTCTCATCATTATGTCTAAACTGTAGCAATATTATCAGTATCATTGATAAATTAATTTTTGTGTAAGGAAATTAATAGCATCAAAATAATTATTAATAAATATGTATTGTAAAATGTCAATAAAAACGGATTATTATTGTCTTTATTGATAATAATACTAAAGATAATCATGGTTGTGAGAATTACAGAATGTGACAAAATGCCTTTAACAATTTTCGATTATTTCGTGTACACACACAGCAGTTTCCAGCTAGAAATAGATAAGTGATATCATAAAGAGCAAAAATTACTGTTTGTAAAGCCTGATCTATTTAACAAACAAAAAACTGTCTAAAGATTTAGAGGATAATTATCTAGTAATCTCAACTAGTTCTTTTAAATGGTATAT